GAATGGATAAAAAAAATGTGGCATTTATACACAATGGAGTATTACTCTGCATTAAAAAATGACAAAAATCATAGAATTTGCAGGGAAATGGATGGCATTAGAGCAGATTATGCTAAGTGAAGCTAGCCAATCCCTAAAAAACAAATGCCAAATGTCTTCTTTGATATAAGGAGAGTAACTAAGAACAGAGTAGGGACGAAGAGCATGAGAAGAAGATTAACATTAAATAGGATGAGAGGTGGGAGGGAAAGGGAGAGAGAAGGGAAATTCCATGGAAATGGAAGGAGACCCTCAGGGTTATACAAAATTACATACAAGAGGAAGTGAGGGGAAAGGGAAAAAATACAAGGGGGAGAAATGAATTACAGTAAAGGGGGTATTGAGAGAAGAGGGGAGGCGAGGGGAGGGGGGATAGTAGAGGATAGGAAAGGCAGCAGAATACAACAGACACTAGTATGGCAATATGTAAATCAATGGATGTGTAACTGATGTGATTCTGCAATCTGTATACGGGGTAAAAATGGGAGTTCATAACCCACTTGAATCAACGTGTGAAATATGATACATCAAGAGCTATGTAATATTTTGAACAACCAACAACAAAAATTTTAAAAAAAAGAATTATAATGCAAAAAAACAACAACAAAGTACATGTATAAAGGCATCAATTGGTGTGAATATCCTTTATATACAGAAATATGAAAAATTGTGCTCTGTATGTGTAATAAGAATTGTAATGCATTCCACTGCTGTCATGTATTTAAAAAAAATAAAATCAATAAAGATAAAAAAAATCAAAAGAAAAAACAGAAAAAAAGAAGAGACATAGAATTATATTATTTAAATATTCCCATAAATAAATAATACTCACAGTATTAAGTAAAGCATCATATACAGCATTCACAAATTTAGCATTAATCCCAGAGTCTTCAATGGTATTAAATGAGGCAGCAGCATCTTTCTGCAAATTCAATTAAAGATTTAAGTTTATATAACACATTAAGAACCACTCTTGGTAATATTTGCACCATACTTTTCCTTGAAGTTTTCTATTTTGTGGTCTGATGATAAAAAGGAACTATTAGGGCAAAATTGCTGAAAATAAAAAACGAATACCTAAGAACTGTTTCAATAACTTTCTTTTTTTTTGAAAATCAAAGAACTGGGTCAAACTTTAACACTAGTACAAATAAATATGTAATACATATAATTTAAAAATCAATACATATATATGCTTGCTATAAAGTTGTTTAAATCAATATTGGGTAGAAAATGAGGTAATTCTGCCATATCTTTTTGGGAAAATTCAAAATTAATAATGAATTAAAAATGTGTTGTATGTATTATTACCTTAAATATAGCATTTAATCCAGGGAAAGAATCAAATGTTGTGAGATAAAAATCATGTACTGTTTTCCAATCTCCTGATGACTTAGCTTTTTCTACATCTTCCCTAAAATGAAAACACATATTAAACATACATGGATAGAAATATTATTCAGATAGTCACAGCATTCCTTTTTACAAATGTGTGTCACCAAACATGCAATTTAAAATACTGAAATAGAATAAAAAAATCTGTTCCAGTTAGTTAACATAGTTTGTTAAGTTTCACATTCATCTACTTTAAAAAATAGTTTATTCTTGACATGACCCTTTAATTAGTTACTGTCTTTCCTCTCCTTCATAATAAAACTTATGGAGGTTTTGTTTACACTCTGTGTCTCTGCTTTCTCATTCCCATCAAGTTTTTCAAATTATGCATTTTGGTTTTCTGAATAGTGACATATTTTATAACACTTTGCATAGTAGCTGAATTATTTTTTTAAATGATAACATTTTATTAGTTTATCACCATACTTATTTATTTATTTTTGCCTATTTTGACTCCTATTCTCTTTCTTAAGTGTTTCCTTTCTTTTGCTACAACATATTTAACCGTAACCTGTTATCCTGTTATTCATACATTGGTTTTCACCTTCCACTTGAGACATCTAGTCTTCTGTCTTCTTTCTTGGTTAATAGCTCATAATGATGCACAAGTTCAACTAATTTCTCACACAAAGAACTTAAATAAAGTCCTGACATGCAGATGACAATACGTCTATATGTAAGAGTGAATTAAAACTTACTGAAAGTCTTTCATAGTTTTGGGCTGGGTAGGAAGGATAGGTTCTGTAAGGACTGGGGCCTTCATTTCAGATGATAATGTATCTATAGGGATACGCTGCTTTTGTCTAACATCAAGGCAAATTGGTGGTAGGTCTCTCACTGTGAAGTATAAGAAAGCATTCAATATTATTAGTTACAAAATCTTTCCATTAAAAAAATCCCAGGCTAATTCAACATGAACAGAAAGCAAACTATTTTGTATTGTATTCATTCTGGGATAATGTAACAGAAAAAACTATCAAAGTGAAGTGTACTTACTAAGTGAAGTATACATGGGCTTATCCCCACCCTCTTTCACAATAGCTATGAGGCCATACTTTACTTTGAGGTATGTATTTAATATAAAGCTTTTCCCTTTCTCCTTCCTCACCTAAAAGTTGTCTTTTAAGGAATACATTAGTGAGGCTCAACATTTAATGTTTATAGGCTTTTTAATATATGTCCTCTGCAATTCTTTGTTGGAGCATTAGCATTTTCTTATCAATTAGCATGACATTTTAAAACATTTTTTGGAAATATTTGACAATGTGCTGTTTGCCCTTTCCTTACATTTCATAACCTATTAATTGTAAAATAAAACAAATACAGAGAAAAAAAATCTCGAAACAAATGTATGGCTTAATGAGTAATTATAAGGCATGCTAGGAAAGTGCTCCTTGCAGAACCACTGAGCTAAATCATTCCCAGCTGTTTTTCTATACCTTTTGGTTTATTTCTAATTTTAAAAAATATTTCTAATTCTTTCTTTTAATCTCTCCCCTTATCTCTGAGTTTTTTTTTATAATTCTGATTTATGTTATTCTTTCAAGCATTATATCATATTCTTAATGTATTTTGGTGGATTTTGAAATAGGATTTTTCTTCCATTTTTGTGGCATGCATTTCCGTGTGCTTTTACTGTCTGAATGGCTGTTAACTTAGTTCCTTATTCACTTTATCATAATAAAATTTTGTAATTCAAAATTATATAATTTGACCATGATTCTTTCATTAATTTTTATTTGTAAACATTATTTCCAAACTTTAAGAACCAGGTTTACCTTTTTTTTTTTTTTAAATATAGAATTCAAATATATAATGGCTTTGCTTTCTGAGATTTCCATACCCTATGTCCCTCCTTCCACTTTCATTCAGGTATCTTCTTTCTTTAAACTCCATTGTCCTTGTGCTGCTCAAAATTTACTCTAAGCTCTGTATGGGACCCTAACTGGAAGGAAGCACTAGTTAGTCTGGAGAATTATCACGGGTTTCACTGCTTCCTTTAGACCTCAGCATGAGACTTCTGCATTCTCCTGCTCTTGACAAAATGATGTCTGGTTTCAGCCTTTGTTCTCAAATCATTCTCCTGAACTTCCCAGTGGATGTCTTTCATTTATTCTAAAGCTTTCCTGTTTTAAGGTCCACCAAAACACAGCCCTTGTGCTTTCTTCTGATGCCTCCTGCCCAGATGGTAACACATGGAAAACTTAAGAGTTTTGGTGATTGTCCTTCTTATCTTTTAGGGTTTATGTGGACATTTTATCAGCTAATTTTGATGTAAATGATGCCCATGATTTTAAATGAAGCAACCCAACACAGGAAGTTATTTATTTCATGAATTTTCCTTCCTTTATTTCATACTGAAAACATTAAAGGCTATGACTTAAGTATAGCTTTATTCCATAAATTATGATGCAGCATTCTTATAGCTGTTATTTCTGAAAACTTCAGGTTTAATTTATTTAACCTTAGATTAAGAATCTATTAAAACATTTTAAAACCACTATCCTCAAATTTCTTTTATTAATTCTAGTTTTTTGGCATTTCAATTGAGAAAATAAACCACAAACTACTCTATTTTGTGAAATTTTGTTTTTAAAACTCTTCTATTTGAAAGTTACAAAATTAGCCTCAGAAAATCATCATAATTAATGAGAAAATATTATAATCATTCCCTTTTAAACAAGACGAAGAAAATAAATAAATAATGCTAGGCCTGATGGCACACACCTGTAATCCTAGCAACTCAGGAGGGTAGCATGTTAAAGGCTAGCCTCAGCAATTTAACAAGACCCTATCTCGAAATAAAAAATAAAAAGGACTTGGGATGTGACTTAGGTTTAATTGTCACTGGGTTCAATCTCCAGTATTAAAAAAAAAAAAAGAAAAGAAAAAGCATACAATCAGCACTTTCATTCAATACTGCTCTGGAGATCCGAGTTTGCACATAAAAAATATATTAGAGACACAGGATTAGAAAAGAGGAAATAACACTCTCACTTGCAAATGATATGTTATAGACACAGGCAAATCCAAAAGAATCTACAGACACATAATTTGAAGTAGCAAAGTAGGGAGATTTAAAAAAAATCCACAAAATCAATTGCACTTCTAAATACCAGCAACAAACAAGTAGAAAACATAATTTAAAAGAAAAAATGTAAATTCAGGGGTATAATTCTGAGCTCTTTGTACTAAGTACTAATGAATGGAGTATTACTCAACCATAAAGAACGACATATGGCATTTGTCAGTAAATGGACAGAACTAGAGACTATCATGCTAAGTGAAATAAGCCAGTTCCAACAAGTCAAAGGTTGAATGTTTTCTCTGATTTGTGGAAGCTGACCCAAAATAAGGGATGAGGGGTAAAATAAACAAAGAGAGAAAGGAAAAAAGGGGAGAGGAATTTCATCTAAATAGAGGAAAGATCAGTATAATAGATGAAGGGAATTGAGGGGGAAGAACATGGAATAAATCTGACCAAACTTTTGTATGTACATGTACGGATATGGCACAGTGGGGACTAGCATTGGGTATATTCACAGAGACAGAGATAGAGAGAAAGAGAGAGAGAGAGATACTGACTGATGGAAAGAAGGGAGGAGGGGAGTAAGAGTTGGCAGGGAAGTGCTGGAGGCTGAATTGGAGCAGGTTGTATTCCAAACTTTTGTGATAATGTCAGGATATATCCTGGTGTTATATATAACTAAAATCAGTAATTTTTTAAAAAATGTAAGCTCTCTAGAAACAAAATGAAATTGTGTTGAGAGATTAAAGACCTAAGTAAATGGCTAGAAATACTATCATAAAGAAGTCACTTTTCCTTGCAATTACAGATTCTATGCAATTCAATAAAAATCACAGTCTATTTTATAACTTGATAAACTGATTCTAGAAGTTATATGGAAGACAAAAGGAGCAAGAATAACCCATGTTGTTTCTAAAGAAAAGGAAAAATAAAAAGAGGGAAAAAAGAGAGAGGGGATCTTGTTCCACCAGATATCCAAACTTTTGAAGTTTACTCAGACTGTGTTTGACTAATACAGGCTCAGGTACATCAACTAATGGAACAAAGAACTCAAGAGTCATATCCAGACATACATGAAACTTCAATATATTAAATATATGGCAGATTACTGAAAAAAAAGAAAAAAAGAACCCCAAAATATGGAAAACATCAAGGAAACAAAATAAAGTCACATTCTGACTCTGGCCAAATGTATGAAGTTTTTAGTCATTCTATCTTTTCAGCCCTATTCTCTTTTTCCTCTATTTTTGGTACTCCAATGATAGGAATGTAATATTTTTTGTTATATTACCACAGGTCCCTGAGACTCTCTTCATTTTTTTCTTAGTCTACTTTCTTTCTGCTCTTTAAAATTTGCTAATTTCTAGTCTTCTATCTTCCAATTCTGTCCTCTCCACTCTACTGTTGAGTCTATCCACTAAGTTTTTTACTTTGTTTTATTGTATTTTCTCAATACTTCTAAATCAATAGAACAGATCAATATTTTACAGAGTTGAAATTCTACAATAATGAAATGCACATTTATAGAACTTAATTCTACTCTAACATAATCAGGATATATTTTTAACTAAGTTAGTACAGCTATATCAATAATCATAGCACAGTAACATAGCTATAAGGTCTTCCTTTCTTCCTTCCTCTCTTTCCCATTTAGAGTGTCTATTTTAGATTTATCATCAACTTTAATAGGCAAAAAAAATAGTGTTTGGGTATGTTTTAAGGCTAACTTTTATATCAGAAGATAGTTTAGAGATGCCAATTTTTCATATACAACAGAAATAGTTTTCAAACTTTACTGTATCTCAGAATTGTCTAGAAAGCTTGTTAAAACAAAGATTACTAGGACCTCTCCAGAGTTTATGTTAGTTAAGTAGGTCTGGGTTGGGGCATAAGAATTTGATTTATAACATGCTCCCAGGTGATGCTCTTGCTGGTGAATCTGGAGACTATAGTGAGAAACACTGTTCAATAGTTTTAGATGAGAGGACAATGATGCCAACAATACAGAATAGATTATTAAATTTCCTTAATTATGTTTTAATTAATTAATTAATTTGATGCTGGAGATTAAACCAAGGGCTTTGCACATGCTAAGCAAGCACAGTACCACTGATTTATATCACCAACCCTTTTCATTTAATTTTGAGAAAATTAAAGGATGGCCTTGAATTAGCCATTTTCCTGTCTAAGCTTCCTCAGTAGCTGATTATGTTTTACAACAGGTCTTAATTATGCTTTATAATTGATTTTTTGTCCTTTACTAAATATGGAAATATTAGAATTTATATTATAAGCATAAATTGAATACAGTTGAATTTATCCACAAATGTTATCTTATGGATTATATATAGAATTTTATTAATAGGAAAGAAAAGGGTATTTTAGCAGGAAAGAAATAAAGGGATAGTTGTTTTCCACTTTAACACCAGTCTTGTCATTGTTAACTCTATGGCTCCTCTACAGTTTTTCTTTCTCTTTCCTATCCCTTCCCACATACCTTTCCCAACCTAGCTATAAATACCCACTATTAGATACAAACAGACTTATTCAAATATAAATTAACTTATTAACTCACTGAGCACATATATACATTTTTATACCCACACATTTTTATTAATACCATGCTGAAGTAGAAGAAGAGTGAAATCTGAATTAGTAAGAGAAGAAGATTTTGGCAGAGTCTGAATGGGGAGATTCTTATATAAGAGAAAGAATAATGCCAAGATCTGGAGAATTATATTGTGAGGTTAGGACCAGAGACCTAGATGGGATCTATTTTTGGTGCAAAAGGTAACTTGGACTGAAGAAT